TTCTTTTCGGGAATTCCAGAGATTTTGAACGCTATGTTACGATATCTTTGTGTTTCAAAAAAAACAAACATGACTATTTGAGGTTTACACTTGAACAAACTAGTCATAGCCTTTGTCAGAGAAAAAGTGGTTGGCTAAAGCTATGCAGTAGAAGTTTTAAATAAACTCACATTTTAGTAGTTGAGTGCATATTGCCAGTGCGGATCGTGGATCTACTACAGTTGGAAAGGAATGCGATGACTTCCTAGCTTACTTTATAGTGACATTTATATCTAGTGATTTTTTGTAACAACAAATTAAAGATCACATATTTTTCCTATTTGTCACACTTTTTATGTAACCACACATAGATGCAATATCTGTTGTTTTTCTGTATCAATGGTAAAGAAGCGAATACTTTTGTTCGGTTATACATAACACTTCTTCACTACCGCGATTCTTAAAATATGAACGTTGTATTCGCCGTCTATTCTTCTGCTTTAACGGCCACGGCCTTTGGTTGAAGATTATAATAGTACTACAACATCCTTTTAGGCCATTCCACACTACGTTGGAGATTTGGCCCGGATCATTACTGAATAATACTACTGGATCTAATCTTCTTCATTTTGCTGTTGGTGCCATCACGTGCAGAAGAACCTTTGTTAACCAAGTGAGCTTATTTGTGGTTGTTATCTCAGAAAGCAGCTTACAAGTAACATTCATTTCATAACACTGTTACCATTTTGTTGCTCAATATACCTTTATATAGTTTAACTGTAATTTGCTACCTTTTGCGTTGATCATAGACACACGCTTAGGTTTGTAGTGTTGATTCTTTTGATATATTGTTGGTAACTTTGCGTATTGTTATATTTTAACTAAGCTATTTTGCTGAGGTCCACCACAACTTCGAAGTCACATCTTGCGGGTTGTTTTTAACCCGAGCTACCCTCTTCTGGTATGAAGGTGATGCGACACCTTTGGTGATTTCACAGAACAATTAGAATATCATCGAATAAACGTATTATTAGAAAAGATTGGGGAGGTACTAACTACAGAGACTGCTACGGGGTCCGTGAAGTGGCAGTGAAGAATGTGAGTTGGTTATTCCTATATACGTGAAGATGTTCGGGAAGCTATTCAACCTCCATTGATCTACCGTCGAAAGTAGAAATGACTCAACTGGATGGGAGGTTTGATTAGAGCTCAGTGACATACACTGTCCCTAAATTACAAGTATCTATCTGGTCAAACTTTCTGAAAGTAGAAATCAGTGTAGGGAGTATCTAGACGAGCTTATCAATTATGCTTAAAGTATCGATTGCTACCCAAAATCTGCTTGAGAATGCTCAGTACCATCCAATTAAGTTCAAGTAAACATTGAGGCTGCTGAAACTTATTAGAATACATAAAATAACCGCACCCTGAATGAACTGGATGTATTATTTTGAAGTGGATCTATTGAAATTTTCCTGTATTTTGACGCAATGACAGTACGGTTTTCGATGAAAAATATCTATATTGAGCTTAAAGTTCGATAAATTATTTTTCCTTTCTGGGTTTCACTTGAATTAATAGTTGATCAAGGTTTCGCACTAGTTTACTTTTTCGTGTTCAGGGTTTTTCTAGGTGAAAAGTCATTTTAAACAATTTACAAGTGCCTATATGAATCGTTTTCATTCATTTTTATTATATCATCTCTTTTCACGGTTATAAAGCTTTGTCCCAGTTTGTTTGATAAATTATACTTTATCATAGTCACCAAGATAGCTAGTAAGCAACCTGTTTACTGTTCTGTCGTAACAAATGTAAAGGATGGTTTCACGGGCTATGCGGGTAAACCACAGGAACTGCTTACAACTCAGTAAGTCAGGTCGTATGTGAGTATGGGTCACATGAGTCCTGAGGAAATGCTGTGAAATATCATCATTACTCGGGCAAATTTTAGGAGAGACGTTTTAGCAACCATGAAAGGAAGAAGTCCTTAAACTAATAAGCTGCCAAAAACGCGATGTGGGGGAAACACGGATCTCTTACAGCACCAGAATGGATGAGTAGATACGAAAACCATGAAAGCTATGCTGAAACTCAACATCATCATAGCGTCGACTGTATTAGATTCACTTAGTAAAACAGTATCCCCAAGCATAGTCTCTCCAAACGCCAGTGAGGTTGCCAATAATTCTACTGTGAGGATCTGAACTCTCGTCAACAAGATTAAAAAGAATTGAAAGTCACCATCAAGATTCCTCAACAGTCTAGATCTGAAAAGAAGATTAACCGATGTGCTGGTCGAACAATGTACTCCTGAGGTTGTCTAAAAAGTTAACAAAATAGTGCAGAAGTCTGGTCTGCAGCCTAATGAACAAACTCAACCCCAGTGCACACAGAAACCTGTAAAATCAACCTGAGGTTCTTGAAAATTCCTAAATAATTTCAAAATTCAAAGATTTCCTTAACCTCTCACTAGGTTCAGGCGAACAAAATGAAAGAAAGCTGCCTGAGAATTAAGACAGGATGCTCAAACTCAAAATATTGACTGCCAACGACATTCTCAAATGTGGAACAACGAACACCCTGATCATCCCAGACTTTATATAGTGCCACCGTTGAGAAGGATGTTATATTGGTTAGTCACTTGCTGAAATATGAGAGGGTATGTGAAAATACAGCTGGATATACCATATCTGTGATACAGCTTCATCAATAACACCCCATTAGAATCTCAAAAGACGTTCTTTATCATAAGGAATATAGCTGTGCAAAGTCTTCTGGATTGGGAGTTCAAAAAACAGTCATCAGATTTTAATAATATTTCTACCTAACAAGTGGTACGATTAGCCAAGAAGTACAGGGATCCTAGACTGGCTGATGATGGTAAAATTTCCTTCCCTCTAATTTGCGGCCGCTACTACTTAACTATTTTCTACCAACAGGCGCCGATTGCTAATTGGAATGTACATGGATTCAGGCAGGTCACATGACGCAAATGATAGGCGCTAAACAAATTGTAACTGATTATCCTGCTTGAGGACTGTTAGGAATAAGAAAAACCCGTAAGAAGTGAGGGGGCCACACATTCAGAAAATCCTACTTGGATAGATTTCCTATCTATTCACATAAATATCATTCAAACAAAGAGAATGAGAACATACAAGCATTTCAAATCGAGATCGTTAACTGTTTGTATATTAACGGTGAAAGTTTAACGAACAACGTAGATGAGTTGCATCATCCAAGTAATGCGAGTGATAATAGTTTGATAAGGATGTCTGAAGCATTGGCTTTTCGAGTCACGGACTAGGAGCTGACAATAACCAGCATGCACGCTTGGTAGAGACAGAAAAACGGGAACAGGAGTCTGTCGATATCAATAAATCTGTACGGTACTTATTAGGATTGTCTAAAAACTCAAGGTGCCTAACTGGAGTCATCTGCAGCTAACAGTGAGCACCATTATCGTATGTTGAAGGAATTATCTCTCATTGTTCGTCTCGGATACAATTATACCATAATATTGAGAGACTTAGATCTTCCGCAAATCTACAGTAGGGTCACTGAATATCGAACAAATCATTGATCCCTGTTAAGTTCAAGGATAGTCAACGCGCATCAATCAATTACACGCCATGGACTGGCCCACGCGGCAGTGGTCGTACTTTCGCTTCTGTACTTTCGTGGTTGCACCTTAACTAATATATCCTTCTAATAACGTCCTTTGTGTTGTACAGTCTCCATAGCATCCAAAGTCCCTTGTTACGTCGATGGGGGCAATCCACGTAAGGTGCTGGTCGCGAGGTGTGACTTCAGCGTTAGTTGGTTCGTCACCATTCTCGTCTAACTCTAGTAGGCCCCTCCAAACATTTCGACATAGAACATCAACGTTGGTGTTCTACACTACTTTGTTAGACACATATACAATGAAGGTGATGACTGGAGATTGGTTTCTTTATCCTCGTTGAAGGACCTGGAATACCGATACAGATCGGTTTCCACAGCGTGTAATAAGTATTTGGTCCTGTCACATCTCAGCCGATATCTCGAGTCATTCAGACGGAATTCACTTTATGGTTTTTGACATTGCACTCAAAATTTAACAGGACTTGTAATGAACGTAAAAGTTCCTTCATGGAGTGACTTAACAATGATTCCATCATGGTTTTTCAAGTTATAACGTGTTTGCCCCATTAACCCGTCAAGAATTTTAAAAGTAAGCTTAGGAAAATCGCTGCAGTAATCCCTAATACATTCTCAAGTTGATGAAGAGGAAAATTTTGCTCTAGAGAAGGTTAAAAACATGTAGTCGGTGAATTCTAATGTGTGTGGGCTAGTAAGTAAAATATCACCCGAACCTAACCAATTATACTTTTTCACATTGTTGGTGAACAACCTGAGAATCTCGGCTGTCAACAGTGAATTCTCTACAACAGAACAGAATGAAGATAACACTCGTAAAAGCCATATCAATATCTTTATGAAAAATGATATCGAAGAAAAGTGAGGGATTGATTAACCGATTCATAAGTTACAACTTCACTTGACACGAGAATTGCAATTTCTACAAATTAATTCACAGTAAGGGGTTATTTTCTAGACCAAGGGATAAAATCCCCATCGCCTAAATTGACAGTTAATAATATCCAACTGCAAGAAAAATGCGCTCATAGACCATGTAGCGTATATATATGCCCTTACTTACTAAAAGGATCACTTTAATTTTGAGGAATATATATAGGGATGATAAGAGGTAAATTTTACTCAATGTATTGGAAGTTTTGATAAAAGTCCTATCATTGATACAGTTCATGAAGTAGAACTCACACAGGAAAATCAAAACTCTTGCATGGGTTGTTCTGCCTAATTTATCAATGAGTAATATCTTCATGATCCCATGTTTTAATCAAGTATTTCATTTGCTGTAGATCTGTAGTTTCACGCGCTTCTCTCAAAAACCACGATAATGGACACACTATCGAGGTTATGGGCTAGTTGTGGACGTCCATGCATTGTGTGAAATTATGTTAGACCCGAACATTTGCATCAAAAAGCCTTTCGATTTCGGATATCCTGTTTTGTGTGGATCTTTAGGATGGAAACAAGGAGATGAAGAAGGAAAATGGGCCCAAAAAGCTATTGAAACATTAATAAAAAAGTTGAAGAAACGAAAAGGGGTTTTAGAGAGGCTCCAGTACGCACTTCTTCACCCGAATGAGCCCAGTGAGTGTGTAACTATCCCACGATCGCTAGATGGTCGAATTCAGGTTTCGTCATGAATTTCTTCATTTCATTTTCATAGGTTTCTCATCGTAAAGGATTTCCACATGTGATATACTGCAGAGTATGGCGTTGGCCTGACCTCCAGAGTCACCATGAGTTAAGGCCTGTTGAGAATTGCAAATTGCCATTCAGTTCTAAGGAGACGGAAGTGTGCATTAACCCATATCATTATACTCGCGTTGATTATCCTGGTAAGATTTAGTTATTTTCATTATATGAAATAGTCTTGCCCCCTGTATTAGTGCCTAGGCATAACGAATACCCAACAATCGAGTCTACTAAAAAGGATTCTCCAAGTGATGAAACATGTGACTCACACTGTTATTCAGGTTAGTATATTTCCTAATTTCTTTAAGTCCAGATTCACATAATTCCAATTTTCCTAATTTATCTAGACTGTAAGGAGTGCCGAAAAGACTTCATGCTTGTCACGTGTTTTATGAGTTTTTAATACATTCCTCACCCATTAAAAGGATACTACTGATCTGTACTCCACAAAACAGTAATGACACGTTAATTTGAAAACTGGATCCATTATAAATAGATAGAATTCTCGCTGCCTTCAAGGGGTTGTCGCAAGCACCTTGTTTTATTCATCATTTAATCAACGTCAAGATATTGGGTCGTATTGTCTTATTTTCCGCACTATCATTTCATCAGTGTATGGATTACATGTTTCTGTATGTCCCTATCCTTGTTATTCCCGGCTATAGATTTTTCATGGCAGGTTTAGGGTTGGAATTAGTTTAAATATATGACGGACAACGTATTTTAGAAGTAGCGGCTGATGCTGTTCAGACTTCCACCAGGTCGACAAACAAATTATGTAGGAGTAAGGATGGTGAGACTATGGAAAACCGAGTGCTCTAACATATTAGCTGCTGCTGTGTATTCAAGGATTGATTTCGGTTTTTTGCTAAGTGTTCCTATGTTGTTTATTAAAGGAGAAATCTGTCTGTCTGTTCACTTGAATTTGATTTTCTAAAATATATCCTTGTAGAGTTTGGTGTTCCTTGATGTAAAAACTACAATACTAGAAACAAATAAAGCCTTATTTGAATTTGAAAAAGTTCAGAAGAATGTTATCACATTTACAACTAGCTACTAAACCCACGTATTAAAAATGTAACAGCTAATTAATACTCTGTCAGAAGTGATAAAGACAAAATAGGAATAGTTTACGTCGTATAGTTCTGCTTCAGAAACAAGACGCAGTGCCGTAACAGCCAAGCGACAGATGCCAATAAACAGTTTTCTATAAGTTGACGATCGATTCGGAGTAAATTTCACCTAAATACCCGCAGGGCTTTTGTTAAAGAGGTTTAATTTTTTGGTTTCACGGTCCGGTCTCTCAGGTAGTTTTGCGCTCGGAGATTCTAAAGCTGTTTGTGTGAAAATAGAAGAGCAGTCTTAGTCTCCAAACTGTTGTTGTTTTTCAGCTTAGGGCGATTAATTTTAATTATTTTCTAAATTATAACTCAATTTGGTATGAGTTTTTATCTGTTACGCCTTGTAAACCAAGGTTTCGCATGTAGCACTTACTTTTGCCTTCCACCTGATGTGTTGATCATAAATAGATTGAATAAACAGGACCTTTTTGGATTTTAGTAGTTACAAGGGGCTAAACAATTTTGTTAATGCTCATTCGTAAAATTTTGTGATTCGTTTCTCTATACTTTGTCACAGGATTCCATGCTGTAAATTATCAGGAACCAAAATATTGGTGCAGTGTTGTGTATTATGAATTAAATTCACGTATTGGTGAAGCATACTTTGCCTGTATACCCAGTATCATTGTCGATGGTTTCACTAATCCAGGTCGGGATAGTGGTCGGTTTTCCGTAGGATTTTTATCAAATATTAATAGAAGCCTGGCTGTTGAAAATGCCCGCAAACAAATTGGAAAGGGTGAGTTTATTTCTGTTTCTTAGTATTTGGTTTGTTATTTACGTTTATAATTAATCGAAAATTCGAGCTACATTCTAGTAGTGGTTCCTCACTTAAATTGCTCCCTTACAAAAATGAGTATCATTTTAGTGAACTAATAGTATTTGGGTCTTCAGTGACAAATCCACTTTATTGCTACATTTGTGTAAAACACAGGATATCGCGTAGGGACTCTGAAGTTAAATAAATGGCCTACATTTTGTAACACTAAACACATTACAACTTCAATAAATCTTGACATTGAAGTCTTCACGTCAATGGAACTAAAAATGTATTATCGCTCTTGATATATATATATATATATATATATATATATATTTATATCAGTTCTGAAGCACTTATTATCAGCATAATGAAAGAAAGTTAACAAGATAAAAATCAAAGGGGTCAAAGCAGCAAAGTTACTAAATGTACTAAGGACTAGAAATACGCATCAAGAAATAGGTACAATTGAAGTAATAAGTAATACTGAAATTTATTATTTAGAAGAAAATTGTGTATACATCTACAGCAGTACAATTCATTTTAAAACTGTATCCTCTAGACTTGCTATAATCTACTCTTACCGTGCAATATGAAAGTATCAATGTAATAGTCTCCAGGATTACTGAATGTAAGTATGACTGCCCCAAGTAAAAGCAATGCGACTACTCTTACTCTAAAACTCCTGACCCGGCTCTCTGATTAAAAAGCGTAACCTGCAGTTACTATTAAAATACACATAGAAAAATATCACTTTATATACAAGTTTTATTTTCAGTGATTATTAGTTGCATTTAAATAATTACGACTTTAAACGAATTTTATCCTAAAGTAATGTCGAAACTAGGTAAATACATAAGTGACCAACATAAAATAAAGCATGACACTGAAATAAGAAGTTAACTTGTAAGAATCCAATAGAATGTTGAAGCGGATAATTATCATGCCGAAATATCCAATAATCTTAATTTTGGTCGCTCTTTATCAAAGATTAACCAACAGTTACGCAATCCCGATAAGGAAGTCTGAAACCCCTGATGACAAGCCATAAACCCTCAAACACTAATTTCATGAATTAATGTCATATCTAGGTTTGATCTTCCATTTTCTACAGGCTAGTGCTAGTATACAAAGCCTCAATGTTTTTTCTTCATTTAGCTTATCATTTTATACTTACAATCATACTTCCGCCACATCAGTATAATAGACAAATAGAGGGAAGTTTATGTGAACAGTGGTCAAATTCGATCCAACGGTTTGATGGAAATCGGACGCCAAGTATATAAAAGAAATTTTTGTAAAAATTTTGTTTGAAATAATATCAGCGATTGGGATTTCCACTAAACAAACTTAGATTTCGATTATTCCCTTGGTCAGGAGCAAATAGACAAAAGCCAATCAAGCCTTCTGAAGACAACTAATGTAGCTTCTGCAGCAGTAGGCCCCTACATACGCAAGGGAAAAAGCAGGATCCTCAAATGCACTGCAGAAAGTATCAACTCAATCACACTTAATGGGGAAACACTCGCGTATCTCGGTAGCATCATCTATAAACGTCGAAGATCTGATGCTGACGTAAAGACGAGGATTGGCAAACCAAGGACGGTTTTCCTACAGTTGAAGAACATATAGAACTCAAAACAACTGTCAAACAACATCTAGGTTAGAGTCTTTAATATGAACGCCAAAACAGTTCTACTGTACGGAACTGTAACTTGAAGAACTATCACAACCATCATCAGAAAAGTACAGGTATTTCTAAACAATTGTCTACGTAAGATACTGAATGTCCGTTGACCTGATATCATCAGCAACAGCCCATTGTCAGAGAGAACGAACCGGCTTCGAACTGATGAAGAAATTAAAAACAAACGTTGAAAGTGGTGGGTGGGATATACATTATGGAAATCATCAAACTGCATCATGAAGCAATCATTAACTTAGAATCCTGAAGGGAAGCGGAGAAGAGAAGACGAAAGAGCACATTGCGTTGAGGATTGGAAGGAAACATGAAAAGGATAAATTGCAACTGGAAAGGATTGCCGAGGACAGAATTGGATGGAGAATGGTGTGGGTGGCCTATGCTCCTCCACGAGGAGTAACAGGCGTACGTTCATCGTAGCTGCTCAAATTTTAAGGGTAGAACCTCAGAGACCTTAAAGTGATCACTATTACTTTTATACTGTCAATCTTCAAGTAACTGAAGCATTTTAAATATCAACTGTCCTGTTGTACAGGATAGATTATCATTTTTGTATCATTTCTATGCTTCCGTTGGAGTGTATTCGTTTAGTAGTTTTGAAATTCAAATATTTGTTCAGACTATCGTCAGTCACTTTAACAAATCCTAACTATTCAATTTAAGGTGGTACTTTTTTTACAAACTACTGGGACGAGTTTTGGCAAAGTTCCCAGAACGAAATACAACTGATGTTAAAACTTTAATTTTATTTGGTTGTTCGAGTGACTTTCTATAAAGATCGCATTAATTAAGTTACTTCGCTCGCGAAAAATATTAATCACAATCATTCATAACGCGTTTTTTATTTATCATTAATCATTGCCTATGTGTGTGCATGTGTGTGAATTTACAAAATAACAGTCTGTTATCTCATATGTATATATATATATATATATATATATATATATTTCTTAAACTCTCATACTTATATAAGTTAACTAGGCTACAGTTAAGTAAGGCTGATAATCACTAGCATGTATATTACTGTCCTCTTACATACATAAACAAAATTTATGCTTGTATTTTCAATATTCTGTTTTGTCCATTAATAAGCGTAAAGAGAATTTTAAAAGGATAAACGAATGGACAATAAATTACGTATGATGTATACGTAGTAACTGTAACTTATTTTCTAGCAGAATTCTGTCTTTCTACCATGTTCTCGGGAAATGTAATTAACTATGTATCCTTCTACATCATATCATATTACACTTTAATACCCCTACACAACTGATCTCCCCATCCACTAAGTATTTTACTATGCATTTTAAAAATCCAAAAACTTGCTTCCTTTAAAATCATGTACACAGAAATCCCTTAAATTCACGCATATTATTATTATTATTATTGTTATTATTATTGCATATTCTATGATGGCGCCACATTGAACGCCACTTGACTATGGGCGCCTATAAATGGTTGTTAGGTTTTTCCTCTTTTCCTTCCTATATGCAATAATTTATAACCTTTTCTCTCCTTTCTTATCTCTTCCCATGCCCCTCATCATCACTTTCACATTAGGAGCCGTCTACATTCACTTAAAATTTGATTGGGTTACCTATAAATTTTCGACTGAAATCTTATTATCTTCATAATTATTGTTATCGTATTTATTGTTATAAATATTATTCCAATTCGGTATGAATTTTTGTTTGTTTTCTCATGTTTTTAGTCTTAAAAGGTAGCCTTAGCATTTACCAGTACTAGTCATTGATAATAATAGTAATAATATTAGAGAACCATTACTTCCTTCATATTTATAACATTTTCTCGTTTACTTCGTTGTGTAATCATATTTGATGGTGAGTTTTCCATTCTTAAATGCAATTAATCCTCACTGCAGCAAGATATATATATATATATAGTTTTCTCTTCATGTATTTACCTTCAGTTATTGTTTACCTGATACAGTTAACGGATCACACCATTTTGGTCATTTACCATTTCTTTTGCAAAGTAAATTGTAAGGGAAATTTTAAACCGTTTGTGCTATTAACGTGTGGGAGCGTTGAATATTTCCACAGACATCTACTGGTTTTCAGGTTTAATGTTATTTATTGCTCCATCCACTTCAGTTTGAACAGCTGGGTAACACCAGTAATCCTCACACAAAACCATGTAATTTGAAGAATTTACATAAACCTGCACTTGTATATTGAATTGGGTAGATTTGTTCAAGTTTTCGGTTCCTATTTCCAATAGAAAATGGGGAAGCTAACTTGATTGTAGAATCTGTTGTAAACAGAACAGCACTGTGGACCCTACTTTTGCGATATCATACCACATTGCAACTTGATCGATAGCATTCGATCAGCACTAAGGACCTGACACGCATGAGATTGATCACCACCCAGTGATCAATCAATTGTGACTGTTGAGGAGTCCCATACTAGGAGGAAACAGCCATTTAATTTTTCCAGGTTTTTCAATGGTGGTTTGACATTGATCGGTTCATAATTTCAATGGAATTCAGCAATCTCCTCAATCCCTTACCGACAACTTTTCATTCTTTTTTATCTGTGTTAGATAGTTTTGTACTTAAGTTCGTTTTAATGTTGTGATTAAAATCCTTAAACAGTTGGGTATTAAATTATCCCCGTATCAAAGTGACCGAAACCGACCAAAAAGGAGTTTTCTAGTCTTCAATTTAAATTAAAACTTCAAAATTATGCGCATAAAGTTGAATCTTCTTTGCTTCCTTAGTGGCTAAACGCCTCGAAATTTGTGATATATTCCCTGGGATTTCACACTGTATCATTGTCAATCGAAGATGCAATAACTTTTTGTTTCCTACATGTGTTCTCCATTATTTAGGTTAAGGTATAGGGTTATTAGGGTAATTGGTGCATACCGATGTTTTGGGCGTTTTCTGTCAAATCTGGTTCATCATTAAATTTAGCTTTGAAATTATAAAATTAAAAAAACAAGCTCATTCTACCGCTTAGGGATTTGTGATTACCGAGCTAAGATAGTCCTAATGTGGAAATAATATATGAGAGTTGTATTTAAGGCCTATAAAATACGTTTTTTATGGTTTATCACAAAACATTATTAATAAATTCTTAGTGGTTGACTGTTTATGAATTGTATTTTGTCTAAATTGATGCCTAGTGTATTCATTTTAACGTCTTATTTAGGTGTTCATTTGTTTACTTTTGGTGGTGATGTCTACGCAGAATGCTTATCGGATTGCAGTATTTTCATTCAATCCCGCGAGTGTAATGAACGTCATCATTTTCACCCAACAACTGTGATCAAAATACCTCCAGGTGGATGCTTACGCATATTTTCCAATCGTCAATTTGCTCATATTCTTAGTTATACTATATCACGAGGTGTTGAAGCTACCTATGATCTTGTACGTATGTGTACCATACGATTAAGTTTTGTTAAAGGTTGGGGTGCTGAATACCACCGACAGGACATTACTTCTACACCATGTTGGATAGAAATCCACTTGCGTGGTCCTTTCTTATGGCTTGATCGCGTTCTTCGTCAAATGGGTCCAAGTCGAAGTCCGATCTCTTCAGTTTCCTAACTCATAAAAGCTTACTATGTCAACAGCTGTCAGTCATTTCTTGTTTTATTTTACTCTATCATACACAAACATACCCTCATCACCGTCCCGCTACACCCATATTGTGATCATTTATTTGAGTGACAAAACTTTATCAATATTTTATTCACTCTGTGATTGTGTGGTTATTCAGTTCTTATATACCACTTACTTATTGTCAAATAAGTTTACCAATTTTTTTGTTTTTGTATACGTTTCCTCACCCTTTTTTCTAATTTTTAAACAGAAGACTCTCGTATTGCGTTTTATGCACTTACTTGCTACCTTGAACACCTATGTATTCACATATTGTTGTTTTTATCCACCTAATGTTTAGATCATATTGAAGAATCACTAATTCTCCCCCTTTTATTTTTACTATTTCGATAATTTATTGTATGTAATATCTACCTTTATTTTATCGTGATTACCTAATATTATACACTCTATCTAGATCACATGTATTCGCTTTTTTGCCTACTATCATGGTATTACCATTATTAGTATTGCTACTTCTCTTTGATCCAACAATCAAGCGCCTATCAACTTTCTTTATATTTTCAACCATTTAACTGAATAGAATTTTCACCTTTTTTACGTACATGTTTGCTCAGAAAATAAATTACTGTGTACATGCGTGCTGTAAGTCCTGATGATAACAATGTTATGTGTTTTCAAAGTATGTATCAATAACAAATAAAGTTAAATATTCGTTTGTTTTATTATTATTCTGTGATAAGCCTTTCGGATGTTTAAGTTCAAGTTCGTAAGTGATTTTTGTTATCATATAAAGTAATAATAGTCTCGAAACCAGAGATCACAATTATTTCAATATAGCTCTTGAAATTTCTCAAGAGTACACGCTGTCGATCCTGTTGCAGTACTTGGGATTTTGGAGGTACTTTATACTTTAATTATTTTGCGAATTTTATGATACTCATTGGGAAAGTAGATTGAGCAATATAAAACATTACAATATAATGCCATAGTTGTGGTTACTACATTAATCATGTTTGTTTTTTTCAAAATGAAAAATACAAGGTAAATGCATCCCAATCATTGCGGTTGTTTATAATACATATTGTTTAGTGCGTGTAGTAGGCTTTTTCTTATTCAAAGTACCGGACATCCTCTCCAAGAAGTCTACTATAATTTCCTAACTGGTTTAGGTCATCAGTCAGATACTTTTCTAGATTTTATTCTCAGTTCATTCCAACTGGGATTTAGAAAGTTTGTCGATTAGTGATAAATTCAATAGGAATTTGTAAAATAATTATTGGGATTATCGGATGAAATCACCTTTAATACTGTAGTCGGTGGAATTACAAAATCTCAGTTTCATATTTTAGATTACTCGAGAAGCACTTCGTTATGTGTGACTCCTTATTTTGGATTCTATAGAATAAGATGAAAGTATTTGAAAAATAAATAATAATAATTTCCTAATAAACTCTAGGAACATAACCTTCTATTTTCACAAATCTCTCCACGAGATGATCTGAACTAATAATGCTCACGTTCTGACTAGAGATTAGCTTCCAGGTAGCTTTCGTGATATTCTCTGAAGAAACTATGATTTGTAATCAGTAAGGTTTAGAATAACACAATCGGTCAACGTATGATATTGGAAAACTTTGCTATATGTCACAAGTTGACTAGAAGGTATATGCCCCCAAATGCCCTGGTACGGCCGAGAGTGGGCAGAGTCCGCTCTCCTTCTCCCAGGGTGAACATCAACTCTGAGATGCAGGTACATCCAGCTGACGAGTTCCAAATAGGACGAAACTTGCGTCAAACAGGATTCCACTGCTAGCCACTATCCATCTCTGCTTACCATGCTTGTGAATTAAGGCTATATCGAGGCAATACGTACAATATGCCAATAAGGAACTGGCCAGTTGCAGTCCTAAACATCAATGAGAAGATTCAAGCAATACTAATTGAATCTAGGTTCTGTTTTTCAACTATTTAAAATGATGGAACGCTAAATTTCGTAATTCAATCTTAGAGATTATAAATTCTTTACTAATCATTACTTTATCCACCATTATTGTTTAATCCAATTCATTGCTCTAGAATGATATCAATGATTCCTTTCTCGTTTTTGTTATAACTTGGGTCCTATCAATATTTGACGTAATGATACCGCTAATTCAAGAACAGTGAATTATTGACCGGACCAACGACGCATATAACCCGTACGAGAAGTCTAGAATCCTTCCCGGTCTTTCTCCCTACCTAACCCTGTTTGTTGAGTCCAGAACACCAATAACAGCTTCTGCGATATGAATCATGTATTTCAAACATACTGGGTTTATATACAAACCAAACGGACCACATCGTACCATAAAATAGAAAATAACATTTGCATAAGATTCAGCCAAAAGTGGCTGTGCACGTGGGAGACAGTGATTGATAGCTTATAATAAAAGGAAGAAGCATATGAATAGTTTAGTTACTTAACAATTATTTAATAAAAATATATGTATAGTATTAGTCCAGAAATAGATTCCAACAGTTACCATTCATTATTCTCATCGGGATATGACAGTTTTTTTCCCAACATATTTCTGGGTAACATATGTGTTATCAAATATCATTGTGTCTCTTAACTGACAACTTGTGAATGATGTTTTCAATATTCCAGGAAGTAGTCACCTTGGAATTCTAATGTTTATGTCTTCACTTTAAGTTGGTTTCTCAAAAATAAATGATGTAAGGTTAAAATAAAGAAATTAATACGTTAAATCAAGTCTTACTAATGGTATTTATGTGTACCTATCTCTTATTAGTGTAGAGGAATTTGTGGGGATTGTAGAAGTTTAAATCGCTAAGTGATCTTAGCTAGACCACCAATGAAAGCTTGAAAGCACTAGATGGCCGTCTCGTCCTAGTATGGAACTTCGCAGCAATAAGCATTTACGATACCGCAACCGGGGATCAAAACCATAACCTTCGGTCTTGAGTACGAACATAACATCTAGACCACTGCTGAAGAGTCTTATACTAAGATAAAATGTTCACACAGTGCTTCCAGGTTTTTCAGTGTTGTTCTAGCTAAGATCAGTTTCCGATTTAGCCTATCTGTGAATTCCTTTCATATTTATTCTGCTGAACGTTAGTTGTTTGTTACGAATTTTTTGACTAATTATGTATATATTTAGGTCTGTTATAACCCAATTTCATCTGATTTGTTCGCAGCATTCGTCACATATGACAAAGCCACTAGATGATTAGTGCTAAGTTTATACTCAAGATCTTAAGCAAAACGTCATGTTCATTGATAAGGTTATAGACATCCATCGTCTCCCGGATGTTTTAATGTCAAACAATCATACATATAGACGTATAGTGTTGGCTGACGTAAATCGAGGTTGGAAAAAGTCTATCAAAAAACAGTATCAACTGTTCGTGCAGTTCATGTTGGTAGGTCTAAACTTCTTGATTAGTGACTTCAAAATACTCGAAATCATTGATCGTAGATGTTGGGTTACTATGTAAAATGGAACACCGAGGCACAATCAAATATCTCCAGTTTCACCAAACTTTCCACTCTTAACTTTCATTTGCTTCCTTTTCAATTGTATTAGTTATGTGTAGATTTCCACTGTGTTTAATGTTAATTCTCTTTTTCGATTATTATCTTTTTATTTATTTACTTTCGATTACTCACGATTCTGATGTTAAATTTACCAGCTTTGACCGATACACATTTGTTTCCTATTCAATGTTTGTGATAACTTACTTATAATGTGCCCCCAAATGCCCTAGTACGGCCGAGAGTGGGCAGAGTCCGCTCTCGAAATGCTCTCACATGGCCAGCGAATATATAGCCTCTGCCAGGGAAGTCCTACTCACATTACTTCGGCGAATATTGGTTGATTATTTTTACTCGTCTTTCAAACTTAAAAGATGTTTTATAGAATTTCAAATTAATGTTATGTGTATCGACCGTCTTTTTTAAGTCACCCAATAAGAGTTTGTTACTAGTCAACCGGCTGAGAGTGGGGAGAGTCACCTCTCCCTCTCAAAATGCTCTCACATGACCACGCGTATAAAGCATCTGCCAGGGAAGTCATACTCACTGCCTTCTCGTGGCGGGAGTGTTGTTTACAAAACTGAGAGGACGAAAAGTGAATGTCCGAAAACCCTGATTCCAAACCGGTGGGACACATGGGCTCCAGTATTTTGAAGGAAGAAATGGCGTATGAATCAATCGTTGATCACCGGCTACCATGGGACTGCATCTCCTCACGATGCTCCACTGCCTTGTGGATCAGACCTTTAGGTCAAAGGCTCCGGTTGTGGTCCCCTAAGAAAACCACCTGCTTCAGTTTGGGCACCTGGGTAGTATCACAGCCCTCACACAAATCGAATGAGATTTGTATGGCGCATATGTATCTGGTGCTTCCTTGTACCAATATTTATGTGTTTAAATAAATAAGTAAAATACTTATAATGTTCATTTTATCCGTAACCAACATAAAACTCTTAATAACTATATCAAATTGAAACTGTTCTGAAATTGAATTATAAATCCTTTTCTAAAAAGAAGCAACATGTTGTTAGGTACAAAACTGAAGAAATGAAGTTATCTATAAGGAATATTCAATATTCTGAATAAATGTCTATTCTATGTTTAAATGAGATATTTCATTGGACAATGTTGTATTCAATTCATGTTTCTATCTCATTGAATCAAAGCTCATATGTATTTGTAAATAATTTCATAATTTTATTTCATCACGAATATGCTACTTAAATTTATTATAATTTTATTTCAATGATCTATTCTCTCTTTGTAATGTGAAAGGGGACGTATTTAATTTTGTTCATTTCAAAAAGGGAAATTTTTTGTTCCATTAATATTTAACTGAATTTTAGTTTGAAAATTTAGTTTCTGTTGTTCAATTTTTTGGACGAACGTTACACATAGGTCTTTATCATACATATTGATTTGAGCTATATGTCTTCAACAAAAATTAACATCGTATATAATCCAAGTTATGAAAATGAAGTACTAAATTATTGGTTGATTTGTCATTCTCAGTTCAAACATGCTTTCTGGATTGTGTTAATTCACCTCTCTATGTATTTACTTAGGTATTTGCTTACACACTGTCGTGAACAGACTTTTCCTATTCAATAGTTTCTCTAACGAAATAAGTGATATTTCATGTATAACTTAATTAGACTCCCGTATTCAATGGATTTTGTGAAGAGTTTGGCTTTAGTTCAGAATTTTATGTGAATATCCAAGCACGTCTTTATGCATGTGCAATTAAAGGAGTTAGGAGTTCTTTCCTTGAATTGTCTTTGACTTTTCTACTAACCTACACATTGATTTCAAATTTGTGCAAAGATCTCACAAGATTTTAACGTTTTGATTTTTTTGAATCTTCATAGTTGAAATCATGAGTCAATTGAAGCTAGACCACCATGGAAAACCTAGAAGCACTGTACGGCCGTTTCGTCCTTATATGGGACTCCTCAGCAGTGCGCATCCACGATCCCGCACTCGCGAGATTCGAACCGAGGACCTACCAATCTCGCGCGCGATCACTTAACCGAAAGACCACTGAGCCGGCGTCGAACGGTGTTTTTTTAATCAACAGAGGCATTTGATATTCAAAACGTTTAGCTTAAAATTTGCATACACTATAAATATTTCTAGTCTTTTCCCTTTACGTTGGTCTTAGTGCCATGTTTTACATTATCGTCCTTAGATTACGCATATATTCTGTGAACCTCTTACGATTTTAAGCAAGTATTGTTGAATTTGATTTTCCTTATGAATTAATGTCAAACGTGAACCAGTAAAAACCACTGAGCACTGAACAGATGTTTTGTTCTAGTATGAAAATTTTCAGCGTCCACATCATAATACCACTAGAACCTTCTATCTCGCAGCTAGCGCGATACTTACGGGTCATTAACTCACATTTACAATCTTAGCTAATTCTTCTTTATTTATTTATTTATGTCCTTGCACAAATTATAGCCACGTTAAGGTAATCAGTTAGCAAAATATATTGGTCAATCCAGTCACTGATCAATGAAGAAGTCCTTTTATATTTAATCTAGTAGCATTTTAAAAAATCCATAATTAAGTGGTTCTGTAAAAAAAAGGTAATTGATCGTGGAGATAAAATAACATAAACGGACGATTGTAAAAGCCATTTGTTATCTGTTAAAGAAACTAAATGAAGAAATTATAAAATACGAAATGATAAAGTATAATGACAAAGTGTTAAATGACATGAGGTGTGAATCAAACGTTGAATATCCTGTAAGCTACAATCCACTAATTCAAACAGTTGCTTGCTGATGATAAATCTTCATTCACTAAGAATACAATAATGAATATAGAAGAATCTATTCTTTCTGTCGAAATGTTTCAGCGTATATTATTTATATATCTGTTGTAAAAATCGAGAATGAATATAATACTGATAAGTGTTCATTAGTAAAGCTTTTCATTTTTCTCAACATTGAATTCTAGTTTGGATACAAAATGAATCAAAATAATTAAAGATGAAAGTTGACAGACTTCTGCAACGAATACATCTATAAGTTGTAAAGAGTTACAGTATAGAATTCTCTATGGTATTCTTATTGAAAATAATCTTCAAATTTTCCAGTTATATAGAATAATATTCCGGAAACCGCTATACATTTCAAAGATCATTTCTTAAACTTATTGGATTAATAAAATTATCAACTAAATAGAAAGAAACGTTATTTCAGAAAATGAGTAAAAGTGTATGTATATATCATTAATTGCTTTCTAACAGAAGGGGTTTTGTGAAGATTTCAGTATTTTTCATAATTGAAATCATGAGTCAATTGATGCTAAACCACCATGGAAAACCTGGAAGCACTGGACGGCCAACTAGTCTTATTGTGGGACTCCTTAGCAGTGTGCATCCACGATCCCGTCTCGCGAGATTCAAACCCAGGACCTACCAGTCTCGCGCGCAATCACTTAACCGATAGACCACTGAGCAGGCATTCAACGTTGTTAATGTCTAACTTCAACCAATCTACGAAGTTAGAGCAACCGTTCACCAATTATCTTCAGTGAGTTGTTATCTCACAACAGACGTGGTTGAACTCCACCGGCCACTGATTCTCACTAGAACTCCAGGACATATATCTTGAAATCAGTCACTAGTGAGCATATGATTATAATCAGGAGGGGTTTTGTGGAGATTTCAGTATTATTCATAGTATTATTCATAGTTGAAATCATGAGTATATTGCAGATAGACCACCATGAAAAACCTGGAAGCACTGGACAATTCAACTATTTACCATGAGAATGACTCACAAATTAATTTCCTAAATAATCAAACCTCTAAGCCTTTGTTTTTTATAATTATGGATAGATTATGATAAATATTTATTTATGGTTTAATTTCTAATAATTAAATATATTTATATATGCTAACCTATAATGGACTTGATTTTTATCTGTTAAGAAATACCTAGTACTCATCACGGCGGTTAATAATGGTAATCTCAAACAGAAAAATTGAGAATCACTTAATAGATTCTTTTATTTTCTTTGTCTATTCTTTGAACTAACGAAATGGAACTACAATAAAATTTATGTATTATAATGTAATGAAACGTTGATAAAATCAAAATATAGAAATATGTCTTGATTATTTTATTTTTTATTTTTGTGAATACTTACCATTTATAAATGTACATCAAAAGGAAACATACCGCCATATTTTTGTATTTTTAATTTATCATAACAATTCCTTACTGTATTCAAACAAAAAAGGGGGATTCAATAAGACCATTGTTATTTTCCTATAAAATAAATTCAAATAATAATTAAATTGATGAAAATCACGGATTTTCGTTGGTTTTTATTACAGCTTACTACAGGATTATTAATTTACTAATTTTAAAGAAATTCCAATGCTTATACACCCCCAATCGTTTTTTCCCCATGATCACAGTTTGCAACTTATACAGTTATATGTATATTTTTATTACCTAATCAAGTGATCTTTTTAAAAAGAAAAATTAGTTAACAATCATTTTGTAAACGATGTTTATTTGAAAATAGTTTTTTATTTCATTTAAAAGAGAATTGTTTTTCTATAGGGTAATGAGAAGATGGAGTTGTGTGTGGAAACACATACATAATGAGAAGTAATTGAACAACGCAATCAAGGGTCATGGAATATCTGCCTAGATGGCTTCAAAATCAGTTAATGCCAAATAACCCGATCAAGGTGGGAAGTTGAAAACTATGTTCATCAATAATAAAAACACATAATTGAAATGGGGCACAAAATTGACATCAATACAGCTTTTAAAACATTATATAGAAATTGTCAGAGACTAATTTTCAAGTTTATTAAAGCTTTGGCTATTCGTAAATCTAAACCCATCTTATGTGCACAAAAACAACTTGTCGTAACCTTGAATTTACCTCGGTAATCGTTAGGTAACTTTATGGCCTAGGATAATGTGACTATTTCTTATTCTTTCTATACAGCGAAAATACCCCCCCCCTTTATTATCTCTTTTTACTTAAACTTTCGTTTAATTTCATATAAAATACCCTGACAAGTATATTTGTGACTAGATCGTTCCAAAATGTATGACATAAATACATCACAGTTACCAGATCATTTCTATCTTTTTATTATACTATCAAGATTTATTAGGAAAAAGGGGACTAATTAATTAATTAAATTTATTTATTTCAAATTATCAAGTTGAAAGTAAATTATTAAAAAATACAAAAAAATATTTCAAAGCATAAAATATGCCTACAATTTAGTTTATTCAATCTCCTCTTCTTTAAATTCACTTAGTATTGTTTGTTTAAATCTTCCCATTGATGTTTACGATTGCAGCTGGTCAGTCTCTTATTGGCATATGTACATACTGTGCGTATTGTCTCGATATACCTTAATTCACAAGCATGGTAAGCAAAGATGGATAGTGGCTAGCAGTGGAATCCAGGACGCAGGTTTCGTCCTATTTGGGACTCGTCAACTTGATTTACCTGCATCACGTAGTTGATGTTCACTCTGGGACTCGAACCCAGTACCTTTCACTTCAAACGCCTTCGCATTATCCACTCAGCTACTGAGTCCTGATAGTCATCCGCTTGTGCAATGGGTTGAAGTTTAAATTCACTTAATATTGTTTGCTTGAATCTTTCCATTGTTATTTAGGACTGCAACTGGTCAGTCTCTTTATTTATGTATTTCTATTTAGATGGATTTATGCAGAAATGAAATTAATGAAAATATTAAAAAAAATATTTTTACTTTCTATTAAAAATGATTCATTTGTTCCAGTTCTTCGCTGTTTTCCTTCTTCTTCTTCTAATATTATGTCTACAGGATATTTAATGAAGTAGGATTATTTTGTTTAATTTTTTTCCTTCAAATAAAGTTTTTTGTCCAGTTTTATTCAAGCATATATTGAACATTTAAAATGTATTCCAACCACCATGGTAACGTGAAATATAAACCAAAATGTAAATTAAAATATTTTTTAAATTTATTATTATTGTTTAATTATCTAGAAATCTAATTGTTATACAAACATTGGTTTATTAGCATTAATACTAGTGTTCATTAATAATTAACATAGACTACTTAGCCAATACATAAACTATAACCATATAAAATTAAAGTAATGACGATTGACAGGATATTCTGATTAAATCTTTATTATAATACTAGTTATATATAAGAGTTTAATAAAAAGAATGGAATATATATGTAGCTATCTAATCAACCAAATGTTGTTCTTTTTTATTGAATATCTATCATCAAATTAGACATGGTAGACTGAAACAGTGCATTTATCAACACAAAACATGACATAGTTTATTGTCATCAATTTGAAGTAACAGAATACTGACCATTAAGAAACAAAAGAAAACAAAATACTAAATATTAGAGTTAAAAATTGAACATTGAATTAAAGATATACATCACAACTTTTATCAGTTGCAAGGACTGATTATGAAGTACATCGAATCTATAATTTATGAACTTCTGTTTTGTAAATCACTTCAGATCAACTATTAGCCACTTAGTAATTCATATGAACGTCTGATCATATTAAAGTTTCACCCAGTCGCAATCTAATCCTGAGCCCCCAAATGCCCTGGTACGGCCGAGAGTGGGGAGAGTCACCTCTCCCTCTCGAAATGCTCTCATATGGCCAGCGAATATATAGCTTCTGCCAGGGAAGTCCTACTCACTGCCTTCTCGTGGCGGAGGTGTTGTTTACGAAAGTGAGAGGACGAAAAGCGAATGTCCGGCGCTTTAACCGGGTTGGTGGACAAGGTGAGTCCACCTAGGGGAGTTGGAAAACCCTGATTCCAAACAAATGGTGCACATGGGCTCCAGCATCCTGAAGAAACGAATGGCGTATGAATCAATCGTTGATCACCGGCTACCATGTGACTGCATCTCCCCGCGATGCTCCACTGCCTTGTGGATCAGATCTTTAGGTTAAAGGCTCTGGGTGTGGCCTCCTAAGAAAACCACCTGCTTCAGTATGGGCACCTGGGTAGTATCACAGCCCTCATACAAATCGAATGAGATTTGTATGGCGCATATTTATCTGGTGCTTCCTTGTACCAATATTTATGTGTTTAAATAAAATAAAATAAAAATAATCCTAAACTCAAGTAGGAAGTGTATCCTGGGTGCAGGTAAATATTTTTAATCAGAAAAACTTACGAAATAAAATTATGGATATTAAAAAGGTGAAATTTCAGATGAATAATAGTTCAGTTTTGCGATAGACCACACTGGTATCAATAAATTAGTCATTACGACATTCATATATTTTTCGTAACTGGAGAGAATATTAGAATTCATTCTTTTTAATACTGATAGTTGAATAGATTATACTTTCAAAAACTGAGTAACCTAAACCAGAAATTTTATTTTTTTTGTTTGTTTTTGTATTTAGAACCGTTTTGCAGCATAATATACTTATACCTACCACAATAATTGGTTGTCGAATTTCTGATATGAAAAACACTCAGTATGCGTAAGTCTATTTTAATTTACCTACTTTCCGTTGACAGTATTCTTTTTTGTGATGTACAGGTATGTTTTACAACACCAACATTTCTATGGTACAACGATGAATTAATGTAGACAAATAATTCGATGAAATGATAAATAACTTAAAAATGGAAACGAAATAAAGCCAACAGGAAAGTTAATTGTCGGATTACAATCTCTGCCACATCATGAAAATTTGTTTATTCATGACAAATGTACCGTCGTGTAACAAAAAAAATTGAATTCAACCAGTTACTGATATTGAGGTATTATTAACACGAAAAGTAGCTAGTCCAAAGCATTATAACTGACTGACTTTTTGAAAAGCATTTCAAATAATATCTAGCATTCATTTGTGATTGTTACAGATTCAGAAATTTAAAACAAAAATACAATCTATTAAAACATAATACTTTATGACGGATCTTGAATAATTTATTGAAATATTTAGTTATCTGTCTTAACATTAACGAAAACTGGAGCTTTCATATGTAAAATATTAGGGTTAAAGCATGTAGCATTGAATTACTTGTAATCTTAATAGCTTAGAAAGTATTTAGGTACTTCTTTCTTTATTAATTCAATAATCAAGACATTTTATTTTGAGGTATCTAGTCAACATAGGAGAACTACAAAGCCGTCATCCAGAAGATACAAGTGTTTATCAACAGTTGTCTACGCAAGATACTTCGAGTCCGCTGGTCAGACACTATCAGCAATAAGTTACTGTGGAAGACAACAAACCAGATTTTAGCGGAGGAAGAAATCAGGAAGAGGCGTTGGAAGTGGATAGGGCACACTTTGAGGAAATCACAACACAAGCCCTCACATTGAATCCTGAAGGTCAAAGGAGAAGAGGAAGACCAAAGAACACATTACGCAGAGAAACAGAGACAGACATGAGAAGAATGAACAAGAACTGGATAGAACTAGAAAAGAAGGCCCAGGACAGAGTGGGTTGGAGAATGCTGGTCGGTGGCCTATGCTCCATTGGGAGTAACAGGTGTAAGTGAAAAAAAGTAAAAATCTAGTCAACAAAAGTATCTGTATAACTTCATGCAGAATAATTTTCTTGTTTGATTACTTCCCCTTCCAATCGTTCTCCTCTAAATGATTAGAATTACTCCGACAAAAAATAATTTTATGGTGTAAAAAAAACATATTGGATTAATTCATTCATTAGGAAATAAAAATCTGTAATAGGCATATTATTTCCGGTGAATGATTTTTTCTATTCTAGACGTTTTATTCATCATTGTTATTTATTGTTGGTTATATTTTTAATGGACAAGTTTAATTATGTCAATCATTCTTGTTATTCATAAATTAATCTGAGTTTTTGTCTCCCTCTCCCTCTCTTCTGTTATTTAATTGCTTTAATTATCGCTGAAATTAATGTAAAGTTTTGTGTTTCCAAATTATTCCTCATATAGTATCTTCTCTTTCCGTTTGTCATCTATTTTATATTTAGATATTATATACAAATTCAGCCTCTGCATTAATAAGCCTCAATATACACAAATGAAAAAGCAAGATTCTCAAATACTGCACGGAGAACACCAACCCAACCACACTTGATGGAGAAACTCTAGAAGAGGTGGAAACATTCACGTACCTGGGAAGAATCCTTGATGAATAAGGAGGATCGGATGCAGATGTAAAGGCGAGAATTGGCAAAGCAAGGACAGCATTTCTACAATTAAAAAACATATGGAACTCAAAACAACTCTCAACTAACTTCAAAGTTAGAATCTTTAATACGAACGTCGAGACAGTCCTACTGTACGGAGCTGAAAAGTGGAGAACTATTACATAAATCGTCAAGGAGGTACAAGTATTTATAAACAGTTGTCTACGCAAAATACTCAACATCCACTGGCCGGATACTATCAGCAACAGCATTTTATGGGAGAGGACAAACTAGCTTAAAGCTGAAGAGGAAATTAGGAATAGACGTTTGAAGTGGTTTGGACATACATTGAGGAAATAATCAAACTGCATCATGAAGGAATCCCTTACTTGGAATCCGGAAGGGAAGCGGAAAAGAGGAAGGCCAAAGAACACATTACGTCGGGAAATAGAAGCAGATATGAAAAAGATGAATAACAAGTGGAAAGAATTGGCCAGGACAGAGTTGGATGGAGAATGCTGGTGAGCGGCCTATGCTTTTCGACGAGGGGTAACAGGTGTAAGTAAGTAAGTAAGTAATTATATACAAAATAGTAATTGATCTTATTCAATCTAACATAATAATGTATTGTAGACGATACTTATCTATTCTATTTTGTATTTACTACACTGATAATCTGACTTTAAAAATTTGAAATCATCAATATATGATTAGCAGAGATGGATAGTGGCTAGCAGTGGAATCCAGGACGCGCGTTTCGTCCTACTTGGGACTCGTCAGCTGGATGTACCTGCATCTCAGAGTTGATGTTCACTCTGGGATTCGAACCCAGTGCCCTAGCTTCGAACGCCATTGCGTTAGAGACTGACCAGTTGCAGTCCTAACAAAACGATGGGAAGATTCAAACAAACAATACTAAGTTGAATTTAAACTTCACCCCATCGCACAAGCAAGTGGCTATCAGGACTCAGTGGCCGAGTGGATAACGCAATGGCGTTTGAAGCTAGGGTACTGGGTTCGAATCCCAGAGTGAACATCAACTCTGAGATGCAGGTACATCCAGCTGACGAGTCCCAAATAGGACGAAACCTGCGTCCTGGATTCCACTGCTAGCCACTATCCATCTTTGCTTACCATGCTTGTGAATTAAGGTATATCGAGGCAATACGCACAGTATGCACATATGCCAATAAGAGACTGACCAGTTGCAGTCTTAACAAATCGATGGGAAGATTCAAACAAACAATACTTAGTTGAATTTATACATCAATATATGAGTTATAATATTTGAGCATGTTTAGAACGCTGTTTAATTTTTTTTCTTTTCTGAAAAAAATTCACTTGTAAATGAAATATGTAAAATGATCTAACACTCCTATTGTAAACTATTACAAGATATACTTTTAGTAGAGTCGGAGCAACAACAAAGAAAGTAAAAGGCATACAGTGGTAAACGATGAAGCTTTTGCCAGACATTATGGTTACATAATGTTATACAAATGACAATTGGCTGAATCTTATATGTTCAAATATATATTGAAATTGTTTTCCTACCATGTCCTTTTTAAAATTTATTTCTGATGTTCATGTTCAAACGACAGTAACTCAATGAGGAAAAAAATTCTATGGAACATTGTAAATTTTGTCTTTATAGAAATTTTATAGCATTTACTCCACTAGATATTTAGTGTAGCGCTACCAATTCATTCTGCATGGAATTCATTATTGTGATATACATTTATCTTAGTGTTGAAGTCCACGCTGTTACATGAACTCAGTGTCCTTGACTCTAAATAGTAACAAATTATCCACTGATTTAATGAGTTCGGTTAGACTTCAACTTATTCAAAGTATGAAAAGATAACAATTAGGGTTTGTGATTTTCCATTATTGAGTTTTAGAACTACGACTTATCAATCTTTTTTGTCATATGTACTTCTTGAGTGGAATACCTCGATATAATTTCTAATCAGTATTTGTTCAACTGTTGCCAAAATTTGGTTATCCAGATTTCCTCATTTTAAATCAAATAAATTAAAAGTAAACTAATTAAAATACAAAAAATCAGTCATAAACCTTTTGACATAGAATATGGTGACCTGTTAATGAGTTCGCCTAGGAAATATTTATTTTAATATTTTCATGTTTGTGTTATTCACTTTCAATTATTGAAATAAACCGCTAATACCACATTGAGTAATTAATCTCATCCGTCTTTGGATGTCTTGATATAATGAGTAATATTATACAGTTGAATTCATGAGTCAATTGAAGCTAGATCACCATGGAAAACCTGGATGAAACAGCCATCCAGTGCTTCAATTGACTCATAATTTCAACTATATAAAATTACTAAAATCTCCACAAAACCCCCTTCTGATAATGAGTAATAGTTTAATCAACCGGAATGCGAATGACATACCAAAATGATTTCTTGACAATCGTGTGTGACATGTATTCATCATATTTTAAGAAGGATTACGGATGCTTACTTGTGTAATATTGTACATATATGCTCAAATAGTAAGTCATTGAATTACTATTGTTAAATACAATTCAGCTCAATCTATATAAATTTGACTGTTAATCTAACTGTAAATAAATCCATAAAATGTGATGTAATCTTCAATCATTTTAACTTATTTTGGGAGTGAAATAAATCCTTACCATCACTCTTCACGTTTATTCTTTTGCGTCCAGGTTGTAAATTCAGTCTAAGATTATTAAAAGCGGCGAAGAAATCAAACTGTGCGTTCATTTATAAGAATAATCAGTCTTATAGAATAAAGTTTAAGGTAGATAATGTCCTCGTTACTGTTATTGATTAACCAAGGTACAACTGTTGCACGATCCTGACAAACGGTTACGTAGCACAACAATTGATAAACTAAATCTCAAACCACCAACTTTTGAGGTGGAAAGTGGGTATTCAAAAAATATGTGTGCAGTTAATAATGTAATGTGCTATTTGTAAGCAATATATAGAAAAATTAAGTATGAACATGTGAACTAGCCTATTAGAATGGGGTTTTTAACGTGAACGATTCTGTGTAGTTCGAAAGTTCTATGATAAAATCATGAAAAGTTTTTTGTTACAGTCAGCTCTGATACAAGTTTCGGAATAGATTGATTTAAAACTTCTTTAAAATTTTAATCGGGATCATGTGAAAGCAGATTGTGTAAGTTAAATAATTAACGCCTGACATTTTTCGCATCATACTTTAACTGTAGACATTTCATACATACAGTATGAAAGACCATAGAATAGTGTCATATCTACTGTCTGCTTATGTCAAATTCATCACAAGTCCACGCGTATAACAAGTTGTTGCTATTAACAACGTGTGTTTGGATAATGATGAAATCCATTGATAATTTATAACTGTCAGTATTCAGTTTTATAATTGAAAGAAAATATAGAAGAACATGGTAACATTTTCTGTTCGTTTAGGAAATTC